TAATTTATGATAACCAGTGTATTTTATTTGCTTTAGCTGTACTCTACATAAAATTAATAAACTTTATAAGGAATATATTTTTTTTTTACCTGTAAAATGTTTCTTTATGTTATGTTATTTAACGGTTTTCGATTGATTTTATAGATTGATTTGAATTTTCATTTCAAATTAAAGAGGAATTAAAAAAATAATTAGGATTTAAAAAAAGTATAAACGAAGTTGAGCAATGGTAACCAAGCAAAATGTTTAAGTTTAAATTTTATCCCAATTGAATCGGAAACTAAATCAGCGATATCAAATTTATTTCACCGTTAAGTGTCAGCGTTTTGTGGGCCCTAAAGAGATTCAGTTGACTCAGTTTTATTAAAATGTTTTATTTTTATTTTTTAATTTTTTACAGATATTTTCACAAAGTTCTAGAAGGAATTTATTTCTTTAAACTTTCGTTCTTTAACTATTATTTTTAATCATGAAAAATTACACTAAAATTATATTTGCAAATTTTATGCTACAAATGTTTTTATAGTCATGTTCTTCATGTCAAAAATTTTTAGTGAACTTTACTCAAGATGGTCTTTCATTAGTAAGGCTCTGTTTATAAGTTGTGCATTTGTACCTAAAGCACTAATTAATCTAGATACTTAAGATCTGATTATTGAATGCACTTAGATTTGTAAAATTTTTGCGATTTGTATTGTATCTTTCTTATAGCGTGTAGTGGCAGTTAAGGAAAAGAACATTCTTATTCAGGTACTTTTTGAAAATCTCGGAAAGTAACGTTACTATTTACTAACTGTTTTTTTTTGTTGAAATTTAATTATACACTGAAGAGCCAGAAAAACTGGTATATATCTGCCTAATATCGTGTAGGGCCCCCGCGAGCACGCAGAAATGCCGCAACACGACGTGGCATGGATTCGATCAATGTGTAAATTAGTGCTGGAGATAATTGACACCATGAATCCTGCAGGGCTGTCCATAAGCCATTGCGAGTAAGAGGGGGTGGGGATATCTTCTGAACATCTTGTTGCATGATCTTTTTCCGACAGCAGCGATGTCGTAGATTTGATGTTTTACCGGATTTTCGATACTCACGGTATACTCGTGAAATGGTCGTACGTGAAAATCTAAATTTCATTGCTATCTCGGAGATGCTATGTCCCTTCTCCCCTGCACCGACTATAACACCACGTTCAAACTCACTTAAATCTGTATAACCTGGCATTGTAGCAGCAGTAACCGATCTAAGAACTGTGCTAGACACTCGTTGTCTTATATACGTGTTGCCGATCGCAGCGCTGTACTTTGATTGCATACTGATGCCTGTACCAATTTTTTTTGGCTCTTCAGTGTATTTAATCAGGAATTTTTTGAGACTCTTCCTAATACAGTTGGTTGTAAAGCCTTTAAATTTTTCACATCAAAAGAGCAATATGAAGATAATAAACGCCTATATCCAGCTAAGTTTTTACTGCATTTGAAATAAAAACAGCATAATAGTTCCTCATTAATTATAAAACAATCTATACTTTTCTCCAAAATTCCATGAGTAGTAGTTGTAATAAAGAAATATGTTAGCGATAAACATTGAGATCTTGTAAGAAACTTATTTATCTCTCTAAAAATACAACCTATCGCTTGCGTGTCCCGCCATCAAAAATACATAAAATACAAATCTTTAAAGTGTTGTATTGTAAATTCTCCTCACCCCTATATTGTTTTTGACTTATTATTATTAGAATAATTTTTTAAACAAAAGTTAGTTCTGTTGATCAATAAAAGTAATATAATATAATAATAAAATTAAGTTTTTTGAATTTAGCTTCACTGCCGTTTCACTTGGTTTTAAAGTTCCACGTTTAGAGAACGTAAACATTCCAACTAATCCAGCCAGCTTCTTATACCAAATTGAAACTTCAAGGTTTCTGGAATGCAATGAAACAATTGTTAATTTATACAGGAAACAACCCATTTCTGCTCATCCAAGTCAGCATCAGTATCCTAACTTTTCACCACATGAATTTAACCAACGCCTCATAATTGCTATAGAAGAGTTGAAGATAAATCTCGATCCATTGCTCATACGGTTTTGGTTATTTTCAGGTACTTTATTGGGTAAGAAAAACTATTTTCGATTCTATAATTTCTATTGTCTTATTTAATAATTGTTATGCCGACCGGCCTGTGTAGGGGGCAGGGATCTGTCCTTGCATCAGAAAGGTTCTGGGTTCGAATCCCGGGCAAGGCATGGATGTTTCTTTCTCTCTCTATGTGTTCTATGTCCGTTGTCCTTTGTGTGTGAACGTGACCCGTCCTATAAACGGGTTATGGTTGTGTGAATGGCGTGGCAGTAGTCGAATTCCTGGCCATAGATGGCGCCACTGAAAAACAGAAACAATCGCATCCCCACTGCCTAAAACAGGCATACGATTAAAATAAAAAATTGTTATTTTTCTTTAAATAAGTAAAATATGTAATACGTAATTCAAATTCATCTAACTCGTCATTTTAAAAATATGTATCTGTCGATTAAAGATCCTAACAAGTGTAATAGGGAGTTAATTTACTACGTTTTTAATGAAACAGCGTGTAATACAGAGTAAATAGGGATATGAAATAATTTAACTTGCAATAATTCTCAAAGGAAATTGCATATAAAAAAAGTTATACTCCTTGTTAATGACAGAGAAATAAAGAAGAGTTTATTTACGCAGGGGTACCAATAAAAGTAAAAAAGTTTCATGAAGAAAAATTTTCTGAAAAAATTTCTGTAGTCTATAACAATGGCATTTCTTGTAAAAAAACAAGCATAATTATAGTAATAAAAACCAACATATATGGTACTTAAGCCATTCATTTGATATTTTTCCGTTAATATCGTAACGGTGTACCAGAAACTTGATTTTCATAATTATACTTCTTATTATGACACATTTAGTAAAAAATGCAAAACTGAAAAGCAAATTTAACCGAAAAAATGGTTTTTATGCCATGCTCTAAGGTTTCACGATATAATTATCAAATATTACCATACATACCAAATTTTATCAGGCATTATAAAATCACTAGGAGGCTCCACCCCCTGCTCGCTAACGCTCTCCAACCCCCGAGAATTGCTACACAATCCTATGTGGTTCACGCCGTGAACCAAGGCTCGCTGCGCTCGCTCGCCAATGAACACAATGTTCTAGCACAAAGACTCTGTATATTATCATCAAAGACATAGTTTTGTACTTATGTAGAAGAATTCTATCAATGTTCTTATTGGCTTTTAAAAAAGTATATCAGCTATTTAGATTGTACATGGTGAAAAAATCAAAACAATAGCTAAATGAGAAACATATTAGCAAAATAAATTATCAAATATTGCAGTTACTCACCTAAATTCAACTAAATGTGTATAATAAATTAGTTAATGCTAGAAATTCTGAAAGTTTTAGAAAAAAATTTTATTATTTAAAAATATAAACTTTAAACCCTAACTTTTCCTTGTGAGATAATAACCCTCAAAAAGTCTTTCATTTTCAAGAACACAAAAATTTGTTTTATCGCCAAATGAAATATTTTTTGGTGATCAGCATTATTGAAATCAATTTCTATATTAATTAACATTTGTGATAAAGTACATAACATTTTAGAACAAAATAAGGATGTTTTACATACAATAAATTAAAATGCATGGCTGTTAGCATTACCCGAGAAATACCACGTGGAGGTCGCCATGCTGCATTTCTAATCGGGGAGTTTTGATTTTGGCAGTTCCCCTTGCCTACTGCCAATAGAAGTTTCAATTAAATTTTTTCCAAAAAACATTTTTTTCTGCAAAGCTCTAAGAAATTAACACTAAGCATTTAGAATTTCTTTGAAAACACAATTATAGATTTGGCATCTTGGAGCAATTACTGAAAGGCTGTCAAATGACTTAACTCTTGACAGGCCAACATAAAGTTGTCCATGACTAAAAACTTGTTTAGTCAATACTAAACTGATTTTCTCAAAAGTCTGACCTTGTGACTTATTTATAGTCATGGAGAAGGCCAGCCTAATTAATTCCTAATTGAGTTTAAATTAAATATTATCATGTTTTTAGGGCATGAATCTGAATTGAACAACCTGATAATGCTCACTCTGGTTATTGTTTCCGTTTTTAAAAGCGCTATATGTTGAGCCACCTCATGTGACATTTGCCATGTGACATTTTTAGCCGCAATCATTGGTCGATTTTCTAACGTTGCCATTCGGGGAGTTGTAATGAGGCTTTTTTTTGGTGCCGTGTAAGAGAAATATATATATAGATATTTTATTGCTAATTTTACAAAAAATATAACCAAAGCGCTTCGGTAAAAATTACCAAGCTTTTTGGGGTTCCCATTGAACCAGAAACATGGTAAATTTTACCATATTCCGCCAGTTTTGACAATGTTTTTTTTTTCAGTGAAAGTATAAGAAAACACAGAAAAATGTATTTAATGTATAAAACAATGCAAAACAGTATTAATTAGAAGACATAAGTTGGCTAAAGATTCAAGGTCAAGTAATATTCAAGCCAAGTAATATTTAAGCTTAACAACATGTCAAAGCTAACTGTATGAAATGAACCGCCATATTGTTTTAACAGATTATTAAATTAAAACTTTTTTCAGTAGGTAAATCTGTTTGCTTATTTCTGTACGAAAATATGCATTCACACATATTTGTTGTGTTTAGAAAAAATAATGTAATAATTTATATTTGTGTCAGAATTGATTTGTTTTGAAAAATTAAAATTTTTGTGTCCTTCTAAGCATGTTAATTTTGACGAAAAGCAGAAGAATGTGAATATTTACTGTGCCAGTCATAGAATGAAATAATAAAAAAACTTAAACTAAAATAATTGAATTGATTCTTAATATAAGCCTTTGACTTATTATGTCCTTATTAATAACTAGAGATAAGTGAAAATGAGGTGTTATTATTGCAAATTTATAAATTTATAAGCTTTCGCTCCTTTGCAACGTTGATAACACTCTGTAGTCAAGAAGGAAAAAGAATTCGCATGTTCGCAGTGTTATCTCAGTGTTAATGTCTAATCTCGTGTGCCATTGTGTGCTCTGCTAAGGCTACACATTTATAGTTCTCAACTTATTTTATTCTTTCTCTCATTTATAATTATTAAGTTAAATATAATTCTAAGATAGTTTGAGTGTTGCGGTTTTTCTGGTGAGTTTAAGGAAAAAGTGAAATCCGCAGTTTTTCAGTTTTGACATTTTTACAACAAATTGCTCCTCACATTGCTTCCTGAAAAGCACTTTATATTTTCGACTAAATAAGAGAACAAATATTATCGACTGTAAACAAAAGCTGATCCAGACTTCAAACAGACTTTTCAGTGGTGTAATGTTCATACTAATTTTAATTTATCCAAAAATTTAATTGTTTTCATGAGAATTATGATTTTTTTTGACAAAAACTATCCTGAATTCAATGTGGCTTGTCATGGAATTGCTTTATACCCTTCATATCTTTGAGATTATGTGATATAGATTAAATGCTAAATCTAAAGTTAATCAAATAGCATTTATCTAGGTAAAAATAATATGCAAATTATTTTTTGTGCAAATATTAATAGTTCTTTCGTTAAACTTTACAATGATCAATAAACGTATTTCTAATAGGAATTAAATTTAAAATTATATTTATTGTGCTTAGTATTTGGTTAATTTGATTGAATCTGATATTCAGTATTAATGAAAACTGGATTTTGTTCTAGGTTGGCATCGCCAATGTGATGTTATACCCTACACTTCGGATGCTGACTTTGCCACTTGGGCGGTATATGGTGAAGAAGTAGATAAGTTAATGGATGATTTTAAGCAAAATGAACATTTGACTGCAATAGAGAAATTAGGCATGGTAGGAATATAATTTTTTATCATTAACATTCATTTTGAGTTAAGGATTTTTGTGTTAAGTAAGAAATATATGGTGAAAGAATCGATATCATCTTGAGAGAATCTTTGGAAAGGGTTATCGAATGTATCACTTAAGAGAATTGATAATTGAAGGGGTAAGTTAACTCGAAATATAATGGAAAGAACAGTTGCTAGCGTAAACAAAGGCGCATTTTAGCAACCAATCAGGTACGAGATATCAACACTACGTCACTTGCAGGTATCCCATTTGATATTGACGATACACAAATATTTACGTAGAAAAAATATGAAAAGCAAATATAGTCCCTTAAAGCTATTTGTGGATTATTTATGTTGGCTGACTGTTTTATGGTATTATCGAATATATTTTCTATTCCACAGTTATAATTTAAATTTTAATAATACTCTGTTCAGGAACAAAACCATGATTAGTGAAACTAAATCAATTAAATGACCAGTATAAACAAAGAGCCCATTTCCTTAGTGCTGTTAAAGTATTGTAACTGGATAAAAAATCGTCAATAATATTACAAAAGAGCAAAAGCGTTAGAAGTGAATCTATTTCTAGAAAAGGTCTCTACTGCAAATTTATTCAACCACTTTACGCACATTGAAAACTATAATTTTAATTTATTGATAATGGTATGGTAGTGCAATTCTACCCGGAGAAAAAATTCTGGTAAAATTACCGTGCGAAATAGGGTTAATATAGATTTATATGATTATCAAGAGGTCGAGGGTACGATCCCTGCTGGTCGAAGACTCCATGTGTAGTAAATGGTGACTGATGCACGGTCACGAAGTCCTCCAATTCCCCATAACAGTTCATCCCTCTGAGGGTACCGCATTGGAGATTGGTCGTTCTCAGGTTCAGCTGAAAATTACTATCTGTGAATGAATGAATGGGTCCGCCCTATAAACGGACCGTGAGGCGTGTGTGACTGAAATCGTATTCTTAGCCATAAATGACACCACTGAAAAACAAGAAGCGTACCATTTGCCTTAAATTCGCTTGACTTCACCAAGCAGGCTAGCTGATATTGGCAAGTGGCATTAGAAACAACAACACGACATCAAAATTTTGAAGCACATTATTCTTATAAAAGTTAAGTCTGTGGTACCATTTTAATCTTTATGTATTTCAGATTGACGTTGGATTGGAGTATAAATTTAGGTGCCATGGACTAGGGGTTGATTTATTCTTCATTTATGAAGAGGAAAATGGTACTTGGTGTGGAAGTCACGGCAGCAAAGAAAGTGGTTACTACATGAAGTCAGTATGATTTTCTTGCTATAACGTGTATTGTAATAATTAAACTCTGAGGTTGATTTCGATTAAATTATATAAGTTTTTTTTAACAGTATCTTAAATTTAGAAAAATTGAAACAAACTAAATTGCATTTTTTCAAATTTATGTATTCTGCAAAGATACTAGCGTTTGATAAGATCTAAGATTTTTCATTAATGATTATCAGCTTTTAAGAACTACACGACCTACATTTGGTTTTATTGATAATGAGTACAATGGACAATAAAAGAAAACTATAAATGTTTGTGAACTTCAGATTAATTCAGAGAATTTTTATCCCGCAGTGGACTGATCGTTAAGACACGGTTCCCAGCAGATCACCGAAGTCAAGCATCACTGGCTGTGGTCAGTGTGCGGGTGGGTGACCTCTTGGATCAGGGTGTGTGGTATTGGTCCTCGTTAAACTGTTCTACCGTAAAGTGCTAGACTTCGCGTGTAGGTTGTCGGGCTACTAAAGCGAGGTTGTCACCCCCTCAGCAGAGGATAAAAATTGTGATGGATTGTCTTCGTATCATCCTCAGTGATATTTCCCAGACCGTCACCAATAGCCCATTGTGAAGCTCTAGGACGACGCAGATGAACTACAACAATTAGAAAGTTCACAATTTTTTCAAAACAAAATTGCCGTCTTTTATCTCTATTTATACTTCTTTGATGCGGTACTGTAATCGAGCTGCATTTCGAAATCTTCGTTGGCGAAACTATATTTCCTTATCAATTTGCCAGTTACAACAAGCGAAGGATAGACAGTAAAATGGAAACTTTTCACTTCTGCCAAATTATCCCAAACGGTGATTCTAGCATTCATTACAAAACTGGAAAAATATTTGAAAAGAGTCTTATTCAGTTAAGACTAAAGTCAAATTTTCTTTTTATTTCGAAAAAATTGTAATAATCAGTTTTATAAAAGTCGATATCTTTTTTTTAAAATGGAAGAGTGAAACAAAATTATGTTATTGAAACAAGAAAATGCAGTAATAATTGTGACACTAATAAAAGCTGTAATGTATGACAAGCAGTGTATGAATATGGCGAATTCGTGCATTTTTTTAGTGGTCACTTAAAAGTTAATCCATTTCCTTTGTCTCTATTTCTATATAGTTATACTTTTTGCAAACAAAATCCACAGCAGAGAAAATTAAAATTTTTAAAAATACTGTTTGGTGATCTATTCTTTATATCTTTCTAACTATTCTATTACTTATATTAGTTTTCGCTTTATTCTAGGCTCCAATAAATTCGGAAATTGATAAAACTTTTTGATGCTTGTTTTGATGAATATTTTATTTCCTCTATATCCACATTTATACTGCCATATTAATAATTACGCAATTTTCATGATTATAGATTCAGAATTCATGATCATGATTATGATTCCCCAATCCATCTCCATTTAAAAATGTATTGATTGTCTGAAAGACCTGACACTAAAAGGCAAGCAAATCATCCTACAGTGGATCCCGGGACATTGCGGGATTTGGAGTAATGAAAAAGCTGATTTCTTGGCCAAGAAAGGAACAACTATTGCCCAAACATCTCGTTGCTCCATCTCTCTGCACTCCTTTAAAATGTTGGTCCGAAACCAATTCCGGAACATGCTCTCAGAGAATTTCCGTAAAAGCAATATACACAAAACCTGGTTTAACCATATTTTAACTATCCCAAATCAGTCCAGGTTTAAGGCAGTTACTCTCTTTAGATTTGTAACGGGCCAAGACTGTCTTGCCAAACACCTTTTTAGAATAAACATTTTTGACTGTCCTAAATGCTAGCTCTGTCACCTTGGGGAGGACATGAACCTGCCCCATATTTCCGTCTTTCCTGCGCTCATCTCCACTACTATGTGTGGACGCTACTCGGAGGCTAAGGGCCGTATGGGCTAAGCATGTCAGTATGCATTCTATTCTATGTATCTCTTTTTGCCTTGTTTTTCTTGTTATTTTATCCTTTTTGTTCCTTTAAATTGGTCTGCCATTGGAAATTTAAAAAAAAAAGATTCAGAATTATCATTCATTTTCGTAAATGCAACCATTTAAAATTAGAATACATTTTTTAAAAGGCTTACTTTTTTAAATCTTAATTTAAATTTTAATTATGCGTTATTTCATTGAACTACGGGGCAAACTTGCTAACTTTCTCTTCTGTGTTTAGTGATATTCTTTTTTTAAAAAAATTTTTAAACCAAAATATTTAACATTTTCAGATATTATTATCCGGATTATAGTTTATGTTCTGCTGAGCTTTTGGGACAGAAAATAAACCTACCATGTGAACCAGAAAGCGTAATTTTAGCTGATTATGGTGTGGATTGGATGCAACCTGTTTCAAGTTGGAGTTATGAACGTTCACCAAAGAATCGAGGTCCGAATATTTTTTGGGAGAAGAGTTTGTTAAACAAAGTATATAAACATTATTAAATATGGGATTATTAATAGTGAGATGTTTATGTAATTTTGAACTTCAGTAATTTATATTTTTTCCTGAGTTATTTTCTTTTGAAAAAGTAATAAAGGTTTAAATTTTAATATTTGCTGCGAGATGTTTCAGGTGTTATTTATTTGGGTATGAAGTAACTTATTACCGATTACTTATTACTAATAAAACATACCGATTACTTATTAAAATAACTTATATACTTACAATAATAATACATTTAGTGTAAAGTAAATCTCGACTGGATGGCGCAGTTGGTTTGTCGTCGGCCTTCTGAGCCCAAGTCTGCGGGTTCGATCCCCGGCCCAGACACCGGATTTTCGAGAGGCAGAGATCCCTGGAGTGCCTTACTGGCTCTTGGCATTTCCGGCAAAATTAAATTTCTAGTGCACTTTAGCATCCAAATAGAGTCTCGGTGCTGCCATCTAGTGTGGCAGAAACTAGACGTCCAAATTAACATGGCCAACGGTATCTCACCCATTGTGGTGGTCCTGAAAGAGTGGATACCACTTCTGGCGAATGCACTAGGTCAGCTCGTCGGGAAGACTGACTGTGCAGCTCATAGGTTCTCAGTGCAGCTCAAGTCTTTCCCACCAGAGGACAAAAACCAAGAGATGTAAAACAATATGAAATAGTACTGAACGCCGGATGTAAAGCATCGGCTTCGATGAAGATAATTTTGTGAGAATTTTTTTGATAATTCGGTGAGAATTCACCCGATTAGACATATGATATGCTCACTACGTGCTCTTGCGCGCCGAAGCCTATCAATTAAAACGTATTAGCGTTTTACGTAATATAGATTAGCCATATGATGTTCACTACGTGCTCTTGCTCACCGAAGCCTATCAATTAAAAATGAAAACTGCTGCCAACGCGAGAAAAGAAATATCATCAGTTTTATTGATACATACGTACGTATTAGCGTTTTATATAATATAGATAGATTGAATTTTACTTAAAAAATTAAAAGCAAATGTAAGAAAGTGCAGTAGAAAGTTTGAACAAAGAATTGTGTATATAGTGTAGATCAGAATGTAAGTACTTTTCTGCCTTTTCTGGTACTAAGTTCCACTTTTTTTACTTTGGATGTGCTGTTTTTAAAGACATAGTTAACGAATTAAGTACACATGACATGCACTCAAAAAATATGATAAGTAGTTATAGCCACAACTACTATTGCTTCTTCCATTTAAATATATATAGATATGATAAGATAAGCTGTTAAGATAGTCAATTTTAATAGTTTGAATAAGTAGTGACTTGAGAATAGGTATCGAGAGGAGTTTGGTTGCTTTAGTAGCGCATGTTACAACGCACAAACTTAAAAGCAACGCGTTAACATTGATTTTTAAGTTGTAAAAACCACTGAAAAAGTTAATGAAGTCTTAAAACGAATGCCATATCATGAAGTAGTGAATGTGGAGTATTCTTTTTTCAAGTGATGGAAGTAATTTAAAAGAAAAAAAGAAAAAAAAAAGGATGGTCAATGATCATCAACAAATGTGACGTTCTTCGATTTGAAAACGAGAAAAAAGTGGCAAGCATGGTTAATTTAAACAAGCGACTGATTACGTGGGAACTTTCGGAAAAATTTTGCAACTCCTATGAAACAATATTTGGAGAGAAAGACCAGAAAAAGGATCCAAATTGGTATCTTTCATTACGGCAATGCGATAAGCCAGCCTCAGTTTTGAAGATTATGAACTATTCTTTTTAGTCCGAAAACATCTTATTTTCCGAATTTCGCACCATGCTCCTTTAAAAAAACAAAAATATATATCAAGAGAGCAACGATCTGACATCCTTTCTTGTAATAATAGGGCCATGATAAAGTAGACAAACGTTTTTCTAAGAGTGCCTAGAATCATAGATTCATTGTTTGGATAATCGCATCGCTTTACTAAGCAAGAAAAGTACTTCGAAAGAGAGGAATTTCTTTATAGTATTATCTTATTACATTTTAGTAATAAAATTATTCTCCGTAAGTTCAGTTTTTTTTTATCAAATATTTTACTAGACGTAAGTTTTATAAAAATCTATTTACTTTAAAATAATTTTAGGACTGCGCTTGGATAAACTCATCATTGATCTTCAATAGTTTAAATAAAATCAATAGTGTTCTATATAGCAAATGTTCGCTCTAAACTGTTGCGTTTGATCATATTTATCAAAGCTGTAACTAAATCCATTTAGTCATCCATGTAATTATACTAGTTAAATACTTTAAAATTACTTTTATCTGAGTTTCTTTATTTTTCATATAATTAACTGAAAAAGTATTATCCATCGGAAAAGAATAACGCTGTATCTCTAATAAGGCATATTTTTTAACGTGAATTTGTTGATAATACAACAAAGAAAAACTAATGTATGTATTTTGAAATAATAAACTTATTTAAACTTATTATTTTTTAAACTTTTAATTTTAACTATTTTTAAAATAGTTTATAAGAGAAATTCTGGTAAGAAATTTGTAAATACTTAATAACTAACTAGCAACTAATTCGAAACTACCGAGAGAGTAATTAGGAAGAGTAACAAGGGTACACTTGCAAAAGATATTAATAATTTTTACAGCAATTTTAATGTATTTTTTTACAGCATTTGTGTTGTAGCAATAAAAGAAAGCACTTTTTCGCGTGAAACTGGCTGTTTTTAGTCACGTAAGTCAAATATCGAAACTATTTCAGCCGGCTGAAATTATTTGCCAAAATTTTTTGGCTGATTTTAAAGCATTTGCCGTATTTTGCTTGCATTTTTTTTCTTCATAAAATTACATTAATTTTGTATTATGGTAGAGGTACTGGTTGAAAATTAATTGAATTCTTTGAAGCTGATGTAATTCTCACTCTTTGAAGAAATAATTAAAGCTAAAATACATTTGATTTATAAAGCTATAATTTTTATTTTCTTTTTAGAAAGAACATATGTTATTTAAATAGTAATTTATTTACTAGTTACATATGACTATATTCATCGATTTTTCAGGAAAATTGCGCTGTTTCTGTGAATTTCATTTTTATCAATGATCTTTTAATATTAATTGTGTAAAATGCTAAACTTGAATTTAAAATGAGTAAATTAAAACTTTTAACTTTAAAAATTATTAAATTTTTTGGCAAAAAGCAAAGAATGCGATTAATTAAAAGAGGTATGCAGTATATTTAATTACATGATTTTTTGTACGAGTGTGCAATATTATTTAAAAATATTCTTATTACATACGTCTATTTTATTGATTTTATGTAATAATGGTTTCTGATTTGGATTGCAAATCATAATGGTCTTAAAATTATTATTTTGTTTTATCAGGCAACATTTAACATTAATCAGCAAATGTTTTTTGAAAACTTGGAGTTTTGAATGAAATTGGTTAACTTGAGTAATTGTGCGGTCAATTACACGATCAGTGGTTTGCTGTAAAAAAATCTTGAATATGAAAAACTTTTCTTTTATGAAAGCGGCACCAAATAATTTGATATATTGAAACAGACGTCGGTCAAAACCAGAGGGTTTACAGTCATCTGTATGCCTAATTCCTCTGCCGTACCCTGATCTTCGGAAAATAACTGGCGCGTACGGATATATTTATTTTCTGTAGTCTTTCGTTCGTAGAAATATTTGAACACGTGTTGTTTCAGTAGCATACGGATAATCTATATTTTATTTTATAACCGTCGTTGAACAGCCGATCCAATTTTTTGGGTTTACGATTACTTATGTTCAACTCCGTAACCTTGCAATTTTGAATCCAATCCAGAAGACAAAGGAACTACGGCATCAAGTATGGGGAAAATTTGAATTCGTGGAGGACTTTTTGATGGAACTAACTCGCATTTGAGTTACATGGAGAGGAAGTCCACGAAAACCTCCCATGGCTAGTCCGACGGCCAGGGGGCTATAACCCATGATTCATCTACCACTGAGGGTTTTTCACGTACTATGGTCGGCGCAACCCGGATGCGGGATTCGTATCGCAGCCATCGTTGGGATTCGAACCCGGTTCACCTCATTGGAAGGCGAACGCTCTATCCCAGGAGCCATTGTGGCTCACGGATAATTTAAAGCAATTTTTCAGTCAGAAATTTTTCGTAATATAGCAGAATTTTTTTTACAGCGCTAAAAAAAAAGATTTGAAAGTTATCAGTACTGACCGCAGCGACTCCGATTGCATGTACTAAACATTTTGAACGAAAATTGATCAATATTTGAATTAAAAATATTATAGATGCAACCCTCTATAACTATACCTACTTTATAATTTGTCTACAAAAATTGGGTGAAACGAAAAGTAAAAGAAAATTTTTTCTGATGAAATTAGAATTTTCTTTAAAAAAGAAATATATTATTCAGTCTTTTATTTTTGGAAAACTAATAGTACTATATTGAGAGTAAATTCAATATAAGCAATTTTACTCGTAAGTATTTTCTTTGCTCTCATGTTTTAAAGAATGATGATCTTATTTTTTTAAGCAAAACATTTGTCAAAATTAGTTTACTATAATTGCTTTTTGCTCAAAGGTCTTATTATTTTTGGAAAAAGTGTACAATCAAGACAATTTACTTTCAAAGAAACACCTGAGATTGCTTTAATAATGCAGCTAGTTTTCGTTGCTATTGGAGATAAATATCATAATTATTTATTGAAAATGAGAACTCTACTTAAAAATTAATTGTATCAATTACATTTTGAAAGAAGTGAATTATCTCTGAATGATCGATTAAGCAATTTTCTTGTTTAATTTAAAAGTATTACTCGTTTTTCCACTTGCAATGAATGTAGTTACTGGAAATGATTTTCGTAAAATTAACATTAACATGTAGTTTCATAATATGTCATAAAATTTGGATAATGTGGTAAAATTTGGCAATTTTAATCATATCACTTTAGAGCAAAGCATAAAAATCATTTGTTCGGTTAATTTTATTTTTCAATTTTGTATTTTGCTACTAAATAGGAGTT